CCTCCCCCCTGTCCCCCAACCCCCAGGATGGCACCATGTCACTGGAGATGAAGCTCACGGGCATCCTGTCAACCACATACCGGCCCCTTGAGGAGAAGCCGGGTGAGACGTCCATTAGCACAGACCGGCGCCGCGATAATCCGCACCCACCTCTCGCACGCGCCGCAGCACACCAGGCGTTGCTTGTGGGGCCTCAGGCGTGCAGGCCCAAACAGCCCTGTTTTCTTTGTGCGATTCTGTTAGTTTTAAGGACGGGCGGAAGCTTCTGCAGCGTGGTCACCGACCATTGTGGCGACCTTCTAATTCTTTTCCGCAGGCAACGTGCCGTTTGGCATCGACGTGGCGCCCGGCGTGATCGCCACCAACCACCAGCACCTGTTCTGCGTGCGCCTCGACCCGTCCATCGACTGCGCCGAGGGTGGGCAGGGCGCGGGACGCGCCGCCGCCGCCTCTCCCTGATACGCAGCACGCTACGGCAAGCTTGCACGTTGTGCCAGTCCGAGTGCTTCTCCACTCATGCCAACAATCGGCACTCAAGCGCTTGCTCCAAGTAGCCCCCACTAGTTTTGCAACTGCCGTAACCGCACCAACCGCCGCAACCGGCACGTTGACCGGCATTGACCAGGCGGCAAGGACCTGGTGGTGAGCGAGGTCAACGCAGACATGCTGCCCCTGGGGCCAGGCAACCCCCGCGGCAATGCGTTCCAGGTGCGGCTGCGGCAGCGCCCTCCGCGCTCTTGGATTGGTCTGTGAACGCATGATTTGTCCTGAGTTCACACCAACATGTCATGCAGTGAGGGATTGTTCAGTCGTCTGTAGTATGGGGCTGGCCTCCCTGCCGTTCCAGCAAGCACAACACCTCTAAACTTAGTCAACTGAATTCACCCATCCCCGCGCATTGCCACTCAACAACCCCCGAAACCCCCCAGGTGAACGAGACGCCGCTGCTCAGCGTGCATGCGGCCATGCGCGACGCGGCCCCATTCAGGTCGCGCGCGTGGAAGGTGAAGAATCCCGCGGTCATCAACCCCATCACGGGGCAGCCCGTTGGCTTCAAGCTGCTGCCCACGCACAGTGAGCGCACGCGCCGCGTTTGGCGGCCGCGCTGCGGAGGCAGCTTTCAATTTGCGCTGTCGAGCCGGCGACGCGTCGGCTGCGCCGGTCTGCATTTTTGTCTTCTCCTTCCAGAACAAGGGGACGCCTCCATCCACTTTTTGCAATCAGACGTGGCTGGCCACCAGTCTACATTAAAGCCACCTTGGACGTCACTCACCCCTGACAGCCGACCGTCTCCCCAACCTCGCGGCCCCTCGGCTCCCCCCCCTCCCCCACGCAGGCACGCCCATGCTGATGCAGCCCGAGAGCCTGGTGGCCAAGCGCGCCTTTTTCGCGACCAAGCACCTGTTTGTGACGCCCCACGACGACGAGCAGGTCTTCCCGGCGGGAGACCACGTGGTGCAGTCCGAGGACTGCCTCGGCCTGAAGATCTGGACTAAGGAGGTGCGTCGCGCACCCGCCCGGCCCCAGCCCGGCGAGCGCGGCTGATCCCGCCGTTCCCCCTGTTGTGCGCCTTGGCCCTAGGGGCAGCAGGAGGGCATGCTGCTTTTTGAACGGCCGCGCCCACGCCTGGTTGCCGTTTGGTTTCTCTGCAACTGGATTCGCTGGGACCTGCCAGGATTTCCCCAGACCTCTTGCCCCATGTAGTATCTGTAAGGCTTGGCAATCAAGTCTGCTGTGCATTCGTCCTCTCCGCAGGACAAGCCGCTGGCGGGCGCCGATCCCGTGATCTGGCACTCGTTTGGCATCACCCACCTGCCGCGGCTGGAGGACTTCCCCATCATGCCCGTGGAGGTGGTGGGGTTCACCTTCAAGCCGTGGGGCTTCCACAAGTGAGGGACCTTGCTTGTGTGTGTGTGTGTGTGTGTGTGTGTCCGTGTGTGTGTGTGCGTGTGCGTGCGTGCGCGCGCGCGCACGTGCGTGCGTGCGTGCTTGCGTGTGTGCGCATGTGCGTGTGCGTGTTGAGTGCGTGAGCGAGTGTGTGTGTTTGTGTGTATGTGTGTGTGTGTGTGTGTGTGTGTGTGTGTGTGCGCGCGCGCGCGCGCAATTGTTTGTGAGCAACCAGGGCTACGGGCCTCGACAGGCGGGCGAATGGTGTTGAAGCTTGCTCAGTCGCCCATCATGCCGTGATTGAGGGGCAGGCTCGGTGTGCATGCCTGCTCATCCTGCCGCAGCTCCAACGGTGTCGTGCGCCATGCCTCACTCCTCGCAACCGCCCAATGTTTTGCCAGGTGGAACCCCACACTGGACCTGCCCCCAACCCGCAACGCGGCCAGCAAAGAGGACGTTCAGGCCGCCGCCTCCGCCCCCAAGCTGCCGCGCCCCCGCATGTGACATATCCACAGAACAGACCCGGCGCCGCGCCGCGCCACGCGCGCGCGCCTGGGACCGGGCCCCCCGGGCTCCGCCTGCGCCGCCCAGCCGCCTCCGGCGTGGCGCCGGGGCCGCATGCCCGCGCCGGAGGCGGGCACGCCGCGCGTGGGCGCCCCTGGCTCCCGTGTCATGCCTGCACTTGCAAGTCGATGTAACCGAGCGGGGCGGCGGGGCGCCAGGGGGCGTGCTTGCCCCCTTGCTGCGCCGTGAGGCCGGCGCCCTATCCTCGGAGTTGATCAGCCGCACTTCTCTAGGCACGCCCAACCTTGGACAGACGCACTTTGCCCAGCCCGTCCCAGCCCGCCGCGCACCCGGCCCGTTGGCCGGGCTGGCCAGCGGCGCATGTTTTGCCGCGCGAGCACCCCCACACTGCAAACAGGACCCGAGCGAAGTCCCATGTTGCCAGAGCCTTTTGGGGCGACCTGAGCCGTGTCTTTCCGGTGACCTCCCTTTGTCGAGGCCCGCTTGTACCCACACCCCGTTTTGCACCCACTTTCACAAGCAAGGCGCGTCGGCCGGCGCGCCGCGGCGCCTCGAGGGAGGGCTGCGGGGCCCCCGCTGCGGCGCAAGGGGGGCGCGTTGATTATCGATCCCAGTCACAGCGTATACACACGCTCAGCACCACAGCGGCACGGTTGTCGTACCGCGCCTGTCCAATGGCAACGCGCGCGCAACGCCGGTTTGCGTGCGCCGCAGGAGACTGCGAGTGTACCCTTACATTCAGTCCCCGCCGCCCGCCGCTCCAATGCCGCCTGAGTGCATGCGCCGCCACTCAGCGACCGCGCCACATCCCTCGGAACACGTACACGGAAGCAGTCCGATGTGCGCGCGGGCGCCTGGCGGCGCGATGCCCGTGCGCGCTTGGGGCGGCGGGCGCGCCCACCCGTCCTGTGTGTTGAGCCAAACACGCGTGTACCAAAATTAGGGGCCGCCCGCACCTTGATCAGAAGCACATACACTTTGAAGAGCACGCGTTTTGCGCGGCTGGCATGCCCGCTTTGCCCCCGCCGGCGGCGCCCCATCAGAAAAGTCACATCACTCGCAGTCCTGCGCGGCAGGCGCCTCCGCGCGTGCGCCTGCCGCCAGGGAATGCTTGCCCATTCCACTTTGAGGCGTCGACCCATTGGCCGCCGACAACACACGCTGCACTCACCCGCCGCGCCCCTCTCGGCGGCTGCGCTTTTGGGGCCCGGCTCGACGACCCGCGCCCGCCGCTCCGACGGCCCTGCTCTGCCGCGGGCGCGCCCCGCCCACGTGCACGGCGCTGCCTTGGCGGGGCCCGGGCCAACCGTGGCCCCAACCAGACGCGGTGGCGCGGGGCTGCTGAGAGGTCGGGAGCCCCTGTGTCGGCCGGGGCCGCATTTGGCTTTGGGCCCCGGTTTCTTAGGGGACCAGAGGTTCCGAGGCAGACAGGCTTGCGTTTCTTGATCAGGGTCGGGATCGGTTTTGCGCCAGCCGCGGGGCTGGGCCGCGCCGCGCCGCACGGCCGAATAGCGGCCGTGAGCGCGGCTCTGCACGGCCCGTGATTGGTGGCGGAAAGGGAAGGGAGGACGAGCGCACTGTGTTTCAATGTAACACCCCTCGGTTGAAGTAAACAAACTCCAGGGCCACAACCAATTAGTTAACAGGGTGAATCCATTGTGGGTCTGCGGGGTGCAGCGGGCCCCAGGCCGACCCTGCAAGCTGCAGCGGTTGTGCGGGGCTACGCAAGGGGCTGCGTGCGCGGCAATGCGTGCGCACTCGCAGTGCACCCATTGTCGAGCGTCCTAGGCCGCACACTGCACAAGGGGAGGGGGCAGCTCGCGACATCCGCTGGGTCGAGCGTTGACCTCGGAAGGCCGCTGCTGGGTGGCGATGATGCACCCTGATGCATGCAGACTAGCCGAGCAGTATGCACAGTGTCCCTGTCACGGCCGTTGTTACAGACACCGACTGCAATGCAGCACCACCCATAAGGCATGCATCATATGAGGGACCACAGACAGTCAAAAACATATGCGTGCAGCAGCACGGGTCAGCGTGGACACCGTGCAAGCGTGTTGCATGATGCTGTCAAAACACAGCAGATCCACGCGGCCCCCTTCAACAGGGCCGTGCATTACGGCGCTACGCGTGCACGTCAACGCTGTGGGGTCTAGCTCAGCTCCCACTGCTCTGTTTCCGCCGCCATGCACAGCCGCAATCCAGCCTCCGCGGCGATCCACGGCACGCGGCGACACACAGTGGCCCGAAATGACCGTCACCGGCGCCCATCACCGAGCCCCCAACACGCAAAAAAACGGTAGCACCATCAACAACCACACCAAACCGCGCCCGACAACTGGCCCGCTACCCCATCGGTGCGCAAACCACAAACGCGTATTCAGCGATGTTGCGAGCCGCCACATTTGTGACAGCCCAACACATGATGTCATCTTATGTCATCCCGTCAGCCTTAAGCATCGCCGGCGGGCGCTTTCATGCGGGACAGTACGCTGGCAAGGGCCGCCCTGGCGGAACTTGGTGCATGATCTGGCGGTGGCCGTATAGGGGGTGGGCGGATGCGTTTATTGGTGCGTGCGTGCACAAGATCTGACGGGCAGGTCTTCACAAAAACATGTGCGCATTTTGAAGGTGGGTGGGCGGGCTCTTCTGCCGGGGTGTCGGTCACGCATTAATGACCGTTCAAGGAAACTTTGGTGACGGCCCGCATGACTCGTCCACGAGCTGGCAGACAACAGGCAGGCATGCCGTCACGGCGCCCGCTGCTGCTCGCTGTCATCCGCCATTTGAGAATAGGATAGCAGCAGCTCACTCATTCACATCAGCTGCCCTGCCTCTCGAGCGGCGCCAACCCCGCCCGCTGGAGAACGCAAAGCGCGTGGTTGCAACATGCATCAGAGGGTGTCCTGGCACGACGGCCCACCTGAGACGCAGCTGGCGCGCAGCACGATCCGCTGGAAGCGCGTCTCTGCGGAGCAGTGCGGGGCCGGCGGGCCGTCGCAGTCGTCGGGGGGGAAGGGGGGGCGCGGCTCGCTGATGCGGAAGGTGCAGCAGGGCTACCGCCCGCCAAGCACTGCACAGCGGAGCCTTGGACGGTTGGTGCTTTCGCCCGTTGCAAGACCGAGCGGACCGATGGGCAGACCGCAGCCGGCACATACTGATCCCCGTGGCCTGCCTGCCACGAGCAGGGCCGCCCGCCAGGGCCGCCGCCGCCAGCCGCCGCCGCTGACGCCCCTCCACATGCCTCGCCCGCCTCTGCCGCGGCGCGCGACCCGCACAGCGACCCCTGTCGCCACCACTCCCACGCCCCCACCCCTCCCACACCGACGGCTCCCAACCCAGGAGTCCATCCGCCCACCGCAGCCAGTGTCCACGAGTTCAAACTTCTGCTCAGCCTCCGGCTCCTCCTCGTCCAGGGGGCGCTGCAAACGCAGGGATGACGGTGGAAGCATTCCATCCATGCTGTGTCGCTACTGGGGACCGCGCAAGGCACCACCAGGAGCTGCCGGGCTCGCACGGCCCCTCAAGAGGAGTTTCGGTTGACTCATGCGCGGCGGCAAACAACACCTGGGCAATCAACACGTGGCAGCAGGCCAGCCCGCGCACCTATCCCAAGACGCCTTTACCCGGCTGGCTGCCCCTCTCTCGGATTGCACTCCAGACACTGAAAACCCTTTTTAACCAACCCCCCCAACCCACCAGCCACAGGATGCGCCCAGGGGCGTACAGCGGGACGCCCGCCGCCGCCTCTCCCCCACCCGTCGCCGTCGCGCCGCCGGCAGAGCCGGAGGCCCCGCCTCCTTGCGCCCCGGCTGCGGCCGCGGCGGGGGG